TCTTCCCGCGCCTCAGCCTCCGCCCCGCCGCCCTTCCCTCAGCCGGCGGCGTCGTGCGTTCTCCCAGCGCGGGGAACGACGGTGGTAACACGAAGGGATCCCCGCTCTGTAACGATCAGTGTCGAAACGCACGTTCTGCGGGAACACCCGGTACTTCACCAGCCAGAAAGAAAAGGAAAGGAGGGAGCGGGCAGGAGGATGAAAAATGGCGTCGGTGGCTGAGAGGACCTGCCGCCTGCTGCCTTCTTGGCAAGAGCAGCCGCTGACAGGATTTCAGTTCTGCCAGAGCCAGGCTCCGTGATCAGAAAGTTGCAGCCAGCTACCTAAAGCTCTTTTTTTCCTACTGAAGTGGTGGGGAAAACGGGGGCTCAGTTCTTTATCGCAGTTGTGCACAGAAAACTGGAGGTTTGTGCGAGCGAAGAACAATGGGGCTGTGCAGGTACTGCACGTAGGCCCATAGCCACCATCACTGGCAACATGCAGTGTTGCTGGTTCGTGGCTGGGGGCCAGCCTGGCCGGGCCCTGCCATGGCCAGCAAGGGAAAAGCTACAGAGCTGCTTTTCCTTTGTAGTCTGCCCCAAACCAGGCATCAGCACCCACTCTTGCCTTCAAGCTCTCTGCTATATACAAAACAGCTTGGCTCTTCTGCGACAGTCTGTCAGCTCCCTAAGGCAGCCGCGTGCTATGCTTGCGCCTGCGACCAGCCCTGGTGATGACAGGGTTATACCTGCACTTGTATAGACGGACAGGCACGTTGCAGAGCAAAGGGACACCCCACACCCGTAATGTGGGAAGGGCTGCACATCAGTGGGTGCGACACTGCTGACAGCTGGGAAGGGGAAAAGGAGAATATGCCCACTGGGATGCAGCTGCTGTGCCTTTTAACACGGTGCAGCAAGAGTCAAAGAAGAACTGGCCGCTTGCATCAGGTACTAAGAGGATGCAAAATTGTAGGAGCACTGACAAGAAGATTTGGAGGGACAGAAAGCCTGTATTTTAGGTATTTAATTAATTTCTGACTTTTAGGATGAGTTTTTTTACACTTGGGGCAGATTCTCCCATACTTGCAAATCACAGAGGTATTTATTTTGGTCTGTGGTGAAGAGTAAATAGCAGGAGCTCCTATAAAACAGGTTACATGCTCTTAGCAAAACTTAGCTCAAAATATCTGCTAGGGATCTGAACAGTCCTGTCAGGTAAAAGGCTGAAAAGGGTCCTGCCCTATACAAGGCATGAAATATCAAGCAACCCCATTGTTTTCAAGAGCCCTGGGCAAGACAGAGAGAATTATTTTCATTATTTTCAGTATTTACCCTTCCAATAAGCTAGGCCAGAAGTGCGATCATTCTCTGTTGAGTGATTTTGCTCTTCTGTTTCTCTGGATCACCAAGGTGAATGCCACCACCACTGACTCGTGCTACCTGAATGAGTAAAAGATAGGAGAGGATTCTTTTTTGACGCCCTCATTCTCACAGAGAGACGAGAAGTAGAACCTAGCTCTTTTCCAGACGTCCAAAGCTCCACATTTTCATCACACGGGTAGATGAGGCTCTCCCGTTTTCACCATCGAGGCACCTCTGTGGCACCCTGACCATGCGACTCCTTGAAATGCAGCCTTCTGAGGAGATTGCCTATGCCTTGCCATCCTACCTCTGAAACGGTGTCATGTAACACTCACTCACCTCATCAGCCACCTACTTAATTGTCCATGAATCTCAGCTCAGTAGCCTGCCCCCAGCTATCCCATTTGGCTGGGAAGGTTGTTCAGACTGACTTATACCCACGCAGCCTCCTGGTTCAGCACGCACACGTTGCGAGGCCCTGCAGCCAGGCACGATGAACTGGAAGATGCACAGGTTGCATACGTTGACCAAAATATGCTTTTCCCAAATGCACGCAGACATGCTGCAAGGTGGAGCTGAGACTGAAATGCCTATCGAAAGCATGCATCAGCTCTCCAAAGCACTGCCTTGTTATTCTTTTTTAACATATGAAGCATGTTTTCCTTTCAAATTAACTAGCTTCGTCTTTTCTTCCTAAAGCTTTATCTGCTGGCCACTATCCAAAGGCCTCGATAGAGCTGGTGACAGCAATACAAACTCTGAGGGAAAGCCTATGGTAAAAAAACCTCAGAGGGGGTTTCCCAAGTCTGCAAGTGAACAGTATCTTTTATTTATAAAAAAAAAAGAGTTTGTGTGAGATTGATTTGGCCTGTAGAAACCAGGAAAAGACCAAACCAAACACATTTTGTACTCTTGCCGGAGTTACAGAATACCAAGGGCAGAGGGAGGTTAAAATTTAGTCATCTTGGGAGGGGTCATCTTCAGAGGGGTTTGCACAAAGGTACGGTCTGTGGAGATGAAACATCTCTGCAAGCAGCACTCCATTTTAACTAGCAGGTTTTCAAATAGATTAAGGAGGAGCACTGCTATTTTGGCCATGCTGCCTGCATGGTAAGAGTTTGTAACAGAATCACCCTGGAAGAAGGAATCACTTCTTGGTGGGATGAAGGGGCAGGGAGGGAGGAGAAGGAAGGGAGTTGCCATTAAAGCACAGTTAAGGTGTTTTTATACTGATTGCACCCATCTGGAGTACAGTGCAGAGGGGAGATCACAGCCTTTTCTCTTCTGACATTACATTGTGCGTAAGGATCGATTGTGAACTTGGTGCTTTTTGTTTTCCATTTGCCCTCTGCCGGCTGACAGTGGCAGAAGAATTATGTTCTGTGCGTGTCAGGATGAACAGACTTACCTACCAGTCAAAGAGGAACAGCTAAGGGCGGGCTACTGAGACCGCTGGAAAACTGTCAGATCCAGTACCCAGGAAAGGAGATTCAGTGAAAATCTCAGAGTCTCTGAAAGAGAGAATGAAAAAAGTCCCCCCCTCAGTTGACCATGTCACTTGGCAGCCTGGTGCCACATGTGAGAGCACAGGGGGCTACAGATAGCACTGGACATTTACAGCTCTGGGTTTAGAGGAGTAACAGGAGAAATAGGGGCAGACTGCCTGGTTGCCATGGGGTTCCAAATTATTTTCCCTGTACAGCCCTTCATCAGAATTGAAGAACATACAGCAGTGGCTCGTGATGTGTTAACATCACAGTAGCACTGCAGTCATTGCCGTTGCCTTCTTGTATCGTTTCAGCCCACTAAAAGAACAGTTGTCCAAAAAAAGAGTACTTGTCTGTTAGAGAGACTAAAATGGACAGCCTTTTCAAGGAACCTCA